AGATTTGCAAGTTGAATATAAACATGAGATGGTAAAAATAGAGCCCAAGGGCAGAGACGCATGACCAGGGTTGCGAATCTTTTTGAAACAGACTGAGAAATAGCTTTACGGCAATGCAAGCTCGTCATGCCCATCACACTGATCAACTGATGAACTGTTTTGATTGCACGAGTTAGCAGAGCTGACCCACGGTGTCAGTGTAACTCAAGATAATGCCTGAATATGTCAAAAATTAATTCAGCCATGGTTGCAAATAGTGTTTTATGCCAATTAAAATATAGCCTATAAATTAGATCATGCCTTTTCATGCGTAGAAAGGTTTGCATATTAAAAAATAAAGCTGACGAAAAATAAAAATAAACAACACCTGAAAACAAATGCCTAACATCTGTAAACAAGAAGTGAACTGAATCTAAGCTGCAGATTTTGCCCTATCTGCTTTTAGGTATAGCGTAGTCTGAAAGTAGAAAATCCGGACTATTTCATGGAAATTCGGCTCTCATAGTCACTATTCAGTTTCAATCTATTGCAGGATCTTGGGATGGGGGGAACTCTTGCAGATCACCTGTTCTGCCTCACACCGGATGTTAGCATTCTCTCTCCAGCGTTCTCTCCCTATGGGAAACATCTGACAGGTTTGCTAGCATTTCAAGGTGTATTTTCCTAGCAATTCAGGGTGTATTATCTTTACTCATAGTGCAAAGTGTAGGAGAGTTTTTGTGAAGTGTGTATTAGTTACCTACAGCAGCATAACAAATTGTCACCAAACTTAGCAGCTAAAAACAGCCATTGTTTACTATCTCATAGCCCATGAGGGTCAGGAATCCAGGAGTGGCGTGGTTGGGTGACTAGGACTTCAGGTCTCCTCATGAGGCTGGAGTCAAGCTGGCAGCCAAGCCTGCAGGCTCTGAAAGACTTGAAAGTTTGAAGTATCTACTTCCTAATTCACTCACGTGCGTACTGGCAGGAGGCTTCAGTTCCTCCTCATGGGGGCCTCACTGTAGGGCTGCTCACAACATAGCTTCCACCAAAGCAAGTGGAGAGGGGCTGGGGGAGAGAAAACACACCCAAGCTGTAAGCCACAGATTTTTATAACCTAATCTCGAAAGTGACTTGGAAGTGACTTACCATCACTTCTATATGCTGTTGATCTCACCGTCCAACCACGGACCAATCTGAGAGGGAATGACCCAAGGGACATCAAAGCTCACCGGGCGCCATCTTGGAGGCTGGCCACCACGAGCAAAGAAGAATAACCCATCTGGAGTCACACAACTAGACCCAAAGTGATTCTTTTGTTTCCTCCATCAGTTACTCTTCCTAGTTGCAAGCAACAAGAACCAGGGCTGGTTAAAAGTGGAAAAGGAATTTAATGCAAAATCTTTCTCACAGCACTGAAAGGGATGCTCACAAAGGAGGCTCAGAAAATGTCAGGAACCAGGAGACATTTGCTGAATGAATATATTAAATTTAAAATGCATTTTACATGAGCTTCAATATTATACTAAGAGGTACGTTAAACAACACAGCCTGTGGCATATAATCAAAATGGGTATTTCTTTTTACCTTCCACTAGACCTTTAAGTTTTATCCACTGGAAAAAGTTTTTCCCCTGTTTTTAAATGACAATGTCCCACAGGTCCAATGACCTTCTGGTCACACTTAGGTAATAAAAGGCTCTGTGATCACTTTATACCACAAAATATGATCTTCATTTAGAAATTAAAATGTCCAGCCCACAGTATCGATCAAGACTACATTCTTCAACCTTGAGACTTTTCCTGCGCCTGCCCCCAACCAGGGCTTGTAGATTTGTTTTCTGTTGCTGCTATAACAAATCACCCCAAACTGAATGGCTCAAAACATACAGATTTATTATCTTACAGTTGCAGAGGTCATGAGTCCCAGTTGGGTCTCATTTGGGCAAAAGTCAAGGTGTTGGCGGGGCTGCCCTCCTTCTGGAGGCGCTAAAAGAACCCAGTTCCTTGTCATTTCCAGCTTCTAGGGGCCACTGATCCATTGCCACATGTCCCCTTCCTTCCAATTTCAAAGCCAGTGACAATGGGTTCAGGCCTTCTCAGGTCTCATCACTCGCACCTGCACATCAGCCTCCCTCTTCTGTTTTTAAGGAACTTGTGATTACTTCAGGCACACCCGGATAACCCAGGATACACTCCCTCTTAAAGGCCAGCTGATGACCAAACTGAATTCCAGCTGAGATTGCAATGCCCCGTTGCCGTGTGATGTCACATACGCACGAGTTCTGGGGACTAGGACTTAGAGCTCTCTGGGCTGGGGTGGTGGGCGTGCCCTGTGCTGCTTACCACCACCTGCAGTGGAGCAGTCAACCAAAGACACCGCTGGTGAAGACGAACGTTAGGTGGTAGGACATGAAAGAGCAGGAAGAAGAAGGGCCCCAGCTGGCCGCTGCAAGCCGGTTGAGGCTGCACCATGTTCTTCAAACCGGGGCTGAAAGGTGAGGTCATGGAGGGGTTGGCCAGTGGGCAGTGGCTGGGAGCACCTGCCGCAAGCAGTGCTGACACCACACTGGGACACATGGGAAACATGGTGCCAGGCAACGCAGGTTTCCAAATACAACTCACTTAATGAGTGAAATGAAATTTGGTCTTCTTCGCACCGCCAAAGTAGACAAAACCCTCACGAAGATGCAAACGCTTCTCGCTGGTATCTACTGATGGTCGAACGCTCTGTTTTGTGTGAAAATGCCCCCAAACCTGGCACCACCTAGCTGAGGCTTGTCTGACCATCCGCAGCTGCAGGGAACGAAAAATTGGGAAATGGAATCTGTAGTTTTGGCTATTGGGAAAGACCACTATTGCATTATCTGGTTTGGAAAACTACATAACAAATGCATACACGTTTCTTATTTTGAAAACAGTAGTACAGGACTTTTATTGGTAAAAAAAAATCATTTTCTCCCCAACTCCACCAAATACTGATCAAATATTTAAATATTATTAGATTAAAGGGGTGAATCAAATTATTGACCTTTTTTAAATGTGTGAAACTAAGCAGTAATTCAATTTTAGGTGGGGTACTTAAGTCCCGCTGAATTCTCCAATCAGCTATTACCGAAGAGTCTTCTTTGGGGGTGGAGGGACTTGGAACACATTGTCTACCAGAGATAAACTCACCAGAAGCAAAACGCTGGGCCAGGCACTAGGGATTCGGTGGTAAGTAGGACAGAGATTTGGCTCAAGCAGCCTATACTGCACATTATTTGATTTCAAGTGGGATACACGGTTCAAAGTTGACTAAAGGGTTGTTAGAGCAGGAAGGAAATAATATTTATGTTCCAGAGTGAATATGAAGAGGACTTTATCAGGTAAAGGACAGAGGGGAAGAAGAGAAAACAGCATCAAAGATGCTGGAGGGAGAAGCAGCCAGTGACCGGGAGGCAGAAGGCAGAGGAGCGGATGCGAGAGTCACGGGAGGGCAAGTCACTCGGGGATTTGGGGCCACATTCATCATTTTATCTATATCCTAAATGCCACAGAGAGATCTCTATCTCTCAGGTTACTGATATAATCAAGACCTGCATTTTGGAAAAAAAAAAAAACATGCTGCCTATTGTGTGTCTATGTGAGGGCAGAGAGGTGGGCACAAGAGTAGAGGTCGGGGATGAAGGTCAAGGTGTAGCCGGAGAGACCTCCAGAAGTTCACTCCTGGCTGAGTGGCTCTTAGCCCGAGGCATATTCCAAACCTTTGGGAGGCCTCCAAGTCCTAGCTCTCGAAAGGCATCTGTGTACTTGTGAAATATTTTTCAAGTTGGGTGATCTCCAAGTTGGGTGAACTTCCCCTCACATGCCCTGCAGGGAGCAGGTGAATTCGCTCACATCCTCCCTTGATGGCAGAGCTTCCCACGCCCTCTTTGTCACAACACATCCCTCTCCTCCCTCTCCCGGACTCTCCTGCTGTCCAGCCACTCACCTTCTGTTGCATGCACGCCTCTCTCCCGGCTACAGGTTGTGCCCGTGTTTGTGCTTCTTCCTAAAAACATATTCCAACCCTTTGCCCATTGATTTTGTGGCCTTACTAGCAGACTGCCTGCGAAGTTTCCAGCCCTCTCAGAGTCAGCACTTGTACACAAATCTCAACAGAGAGGGTGAAACAGGGACAGGCAGGATTACCATTTAAGGCTTATCTGATTTTTTTTTACACGTGAAACATGTATGTGCACCCATGTACACACACATACACACACACAAGCACTGGTGGTTTCTGATCACATGGCCAACTTCTCCTTGATTTCCTCCGTGAATTTATTAGTTTTCAGTCTCCCCTGATGAATAGAAAACTGGACTGTAATTCACTATTTAAATAAATGACGTGATTTGTTTTCTTTCCACTGATTAACGCATTGCTGGTTCAGTGCGGTCTTCACATAAATTAGAGGTGGGAAGAAGGAGCTTACTGTCATGCTAGGTAACTATCTGAGAATCAGAAAGCCAGCATTTGGGAGGAGGGTGTAGCTCAAGTGGTAGAGTGCATGCTTAGCATGCACGAGCTCCTGGGTTCAATCCCCAGTACCTCCTCTAAATATAAATAAATGAATAAACCTAATTACCCCCCCCCAAATAATAACAACAGTAAAAAAGAAAAAAAAAGATTCACACACACACACACAAAGCCAACATTTACCACTGCACTCAGGCTTGCCTGCTCCTAATTTGACAGCAGCCCATCAAAAAGTGGCTCCATTTCTGGCATCTTTTCCTTTCCTTCAGGGTCCTGATGTGGCTGGATGACCTTTGCTTTTTTGGAGCGCCAGCAGCTCTCACTTGGACACCCTGGTTTACGGGACAGGCTCCAGCCACCAACCACTCCCCGCCCGTAGCAACTCCTGATGAGCCCCTGCTACCCTCCCAGACCCGCAGCCACCAGGCTCCAGGTCCCCAGGAGGCAGGAAAACACACAGGGAGGGTTTTACCACCTGCCCGAAGCACCTCGACTTCAGAAAGCATTTCGCACAGAGGAGCTCAGGATCCTGGGAGTCAGCCCGCATTTTATTTTACAGTACATTCATGTGAGTTCCTGCATTTCCAAGGTAATCAGATCACATTCAGGTTAGCACTGCTGGTAACAAAATTACACAACCACCCTGGCTTCGAAAACAAGATAGGATGATACACATGAATGCTTCTTTCCCTTTAATACTGTAGAGGACAATACAGCACAAAAATAAAATCACATGCCTTTTACAATCCAGTGTGAAGGCATATTACTCATGTTAAAATCGAACCATTTGAGACATGAGAATAAGAAGAGCTCCAAAGCTTAAAATGTCTAAAATTTCCCCCAATGCCATCTTTCTCTTCTAACCACCAGCTGGTACATTCAGCATCAATGCCTTGGGAAGAGAGGGACAGAGGAAAGCGGGGGACCATTTAACTCTGAAACTCATGGCTTCTTGGGCTATTCTGTAAAAACTACTTAAATAACCTAAAATTCTAAAAAGAGTTCATATTAACAAGGGATGGTAATATAGAAAGCACCTGGAGAGAATTCCTCCAGTCACTGATGGAATATATAAGCTGCAAACACTTCACGAACATGGACAACTATATCACATCCAGTAATATATTAAGTCCTGAAAATACACTTTCACTTGACTGAATGAAAACACTCGGACCCATGTTCTGGTGTAGAATCAGTTCAGAAAAACAGCTGTAACCTCCATCGGCAGTATTTCCCGTTGGCCGCATTGCATCAATATTACATAAGAGTGCAGCTGACCAATATCCCCAACCCTTGAGAAATATGAGGTCAAACTGAGCTGTAATAAAAACTAGAACAAATCAGAAAGGAGAACATTCAGATGTGTGAGAAAGCAAGAAGTTAGATTCATTTGGGTCTTCTTCCTAGATTTAAAAAAAAAGTTGTTAGAAAATGTTTTGGACCCAGGTCCAACACAGCTGGAATGCTAAGTTATTGAAAATGCAAGCCCCCATCCAGAAAGACAGCGAGCTTACGTAGCCCCTTTCTCTTCAAAGTTCAATGTGCTTTAGTGTAATTATCAATTCATTGCATAATTAAGTACATGATTCAGAATATACTCAGACCTACTGTTAGTTTCAGTGACTAGAGTCCCTGCCACTTGCTGCGAGAAATTGTTTGAGCCCTGACCTTAGCAGGTTATGAATGAAATTGATACTCATATATAAGTTGATTCCCAAAGAAATACCACCCCTTTTCAGGATTGAGAGACATGATGGAAAAGAGAGAGTAAGACACTTCTTAGGAAAGCCACATCGTTAGGAAAAAACATCTCATGGAAAACTATAGCCAGTGCATACCGTACAACCCCTGAAGAAAGCCCCCAGCAGCAGGGGGGGAAGGGGAGCAGTGATGATTCTGAAACCAGACTGACTCATAGCTAACTGCCTAACAGTAAATTCACACAGTAAAATGCAGAGGTCAACATACAGCCAAGGTTTACATTATATCTAGAAATATGCTTTATGCTTTAAAAAAAATTGCAATGCACTCCAAAAAAATTTTTTTTCAGATAATTCATGTACAACAGAAGGCACTGTTATCCGCATAAATCCATTGATTCTGCATGGCAAAACCTGAGACGTGCGAGTCCACCCAATCCTCTAAAACCACCGTGGTCGTTCATCCTTTGGAACATACGGTCTGTCCTTTTCAGTCCAATGATTTTGTTTTTAATTTCATACCTTACAGTAGCTGCTTAAAATACGTATTTCAGGGTGAGAAAGGTCCAAGGGGAAGCAGGGGTGGCCGAAGGTGCTGCCGGATGCCAGGCAGCGGTAGACGGGGCAAAAAGCAGCCCCTCGCTGCCTCCCCTGGAGCCTCCCCTCGGGGCTGAAGTACAATGTAGCGATGGCATGTGGTCCGCTGATGGTCCGTCTTTCAGTTGTCAGTGGGCATAGTCCCAAAGTTAAATGCCGAGAGGACTCCTTTGTTTTCAAAGGTAAAGCCGCCCTGTTGTTCAATCTTCTTTTTCGCCTCTAGCATTGGCCACGAGAAAGGGGGGGAAAAGAGAAAAGTATTTAAGGTGACAGAGTTGGAAATAACCTCCAACGAGTCAGATTCTTTCGAGTTAGCACTGTGAAGGAATGTGATTCGTGGTATTAATTATTCTGCCCAATTGAACATCGGCCTTTTACAAACCCACATCAGTAAGCACCGTGGACCTCATGTCCCCGTGGACGCGGGAATCCACGGATGCGGATATCCGCGGATGCAGGAAGGATGCGGAGGGCCGAAGGCACTACACCATTTTAACAAGGGACTTGAGCATTCTTGGATTTTCATATCCGAGGGGAGTTCATGAACCAATCTCCCCCGGCACAAACCTAGGGATGACTGTAGTTATATTTTCTATCTTGGAAAAACTGTTTGCTAAAAGTGAGAAAAATGAAAACAAGGCTCAAAGCTATAGTGACCACTGCTGAAAGGGGGCACTGACTTCTCACATCAGGAGGGCGGACATGGAATCCGGGCAGGACTGAAAAGTCTAAGCCTATGCAGAAGAACCTGGGTTCTAAACTCTAGATTCCTGTTCCATGATGTTTCCCACTAAAATATTTTTGTCATCACAAAATCTTTTCCATTAATTTTCAAGGGGAGACCATAATAACCTTTGCATAAAATAATTTCTCCAGCTCAAAAATACAAGAATCACCAATACCTAAAGCCCAATTAACAGAAGCAGAGAGTATTTCATTTCCAGGAATACAAGCTCCTTTTAAGAACTCATCTTTGCTCCATCTGTGTTTTAGATGATTAGGTTGGGTGATCGAGCTGATTAACTCTCCCTCAGCAAGATTTACGTCTTTACCTTTGGCTCCAATATAGGATAAGGATGGGATTAAGAACACCACTAAAAGACACATATTAATTAATAGTGTTTTGCTGAGCTAAGATATCATGAGTGACTAAAAAGACCATCCAAAAACAAGATCATACAATAATAATTCCTTATTATCTTCAAAGGGTGGCCTCTAAGTATTTAGATACCAGGATCTTAAAATAAAAGCTGCCCACTGGCATTGTGACACACGCAGTCCGGTCTGGAAATCATGCTGGCTGACCTGCCACCGTCCTCCGGTGCTCGGCCAGGGTGTACACCTCCTGCAGCGCCCTCCTCTGATCCTCACTGAGCGGCGCCATCAGCAGTTGGTACCAGGCAGCATCTCGATTCTGCACAGCTATTGTGTTTTGGGGGTGTGGAGAGAGAGAAGGAAAGATTAGGGAGTCCAGTGACAATTATTATTTCAGAGAATAACTAGTGGCAGAATCAAATTGCAATGACATGATCACCGACGGCAGGTAATGAAACTTATTCCAACAAAAGACTACTCCTGCGCACCCACTTCAGTAGTGAACCCACGCGGGGCTACAAAGGCAGGCTGGGACACCCCGAGTCTCTGCCTAGTTCTCTGGCTCCTTCGTCATCTCCTCTTCTCCCTAACGTTTTACTAACTATGAATGCTCCCTAAAATCCAGATCTTGGAAAACACCTTATTCGCTTGTTACCATTTTCCCCAGGAATTCTCATGCTACCTGCAACTTCGGCACCACTTCTGCACCAAAAACTCAAATTTGTACCTGTAGGAAAAACTGTTCCCTGAGCCTGCCACTTTTCCATTGGATAGTTCACCTCAAACTCAGCACAACTAAAGCCAAATTTAGTACTTTACCTCCCAGCCCTCCCTGTTTCCATCACTAGTTCTATCAGCCTCCTAGTCAACCGCTCCAAATCCCTAACACCTTTGATCACGCCTTCTCCGCATCCAATTCTCTGCTGCTTTCTTGAACTATTTCACCTAAATGCTTTCCATGAGATGTCATCCTCCCTCTCCAGGGCCCTATTATCCCTAAATTCCCAAAATACAAAATAATGCCAATATATTACACTACCATTGCCTTTTTAGTAACAATATTTTTACACAAGGATGTTCATTTTAATAGCAAAAAGAAACCCCCCAAAACTGGAAATATGTGTCCATCAGTGGAAATAAGGTAAATTATAGGAATACCATAGAAATACAATGTCACTATAAAACAAATGATCTATATATATATTGGAATTTTTTTAAGTTATAATTTCTTTGTAATAATTTTCTAAATACCTTCATTGGTTTATTTTTTAATTCTGTGAGTTTTCATTTGTATATTCACATTTTTATACTGGACTATTGGTCTTATTCATTTGTAGAAGGCTATTGTAATCTGTGGATCTTAAGCCTCTGATATGTATGTGAAAAATATTTTCTTGCAACCTTTTATGAGTGCTTTAACTGTATTTATACTGTCCTCTGCTGTACAAAGTTGGTAAATTGTTGCTGTACTAAAAAATTTACTCTCTTACGGACTCTGTTCCTTCATATGGGGACTGTGAATTGCTAATAAGTTTATGGCCACAATTTTTAAGCAACATATGTGAGATACTTCATTCTTTTCTGTAAAAAAAAAAATCCTTGTCTCTTTATAGCTAGGAGATGAACAATATATGCAGATACTCTTGCCTGAAATCACACTTTTGTGAGTATAACCTGCAGTCTCACCCTGTCACTTTGTAATAACAAAGGTTGCTGGGATTGGGTGATGGATATTTCATTATGTGTTTGGGGATTTCTATAATAAAAATAAATAAAAATTTTAAAAGGAATCTAAACCAATTTGGGGCAGACCCCAAAACAACTTCTTCTCCCCCCCCCAAATAACTTCTAATAGGAGGAAATGAAGAAAGAGTTTGGGAAAAAAATCTAAAAGATTCAGCAAGTACCAACATACTTAGGAGAGCTTGTGTAAAAAACTGATATTCATCCACACTGTTGTCAAGGTCCAGTGGAGTGCTGAATCCCTCAAGGGCAGTTTCTTCCAACACCTCTTCATCCCAGTCATCATCATCTTCCTCCTCATCTTCACCTCTTCCATTATTTGACTGCATTGCTTGAGCAGTTACATTCGTCTCCTCTTCATCACTTGAAATCTCCTCTGTGAATCCATTATTTATTTAAAAGGAATCAAACCACATGAGGATAAAAGATAAATTCCATAAAGAAAACAAAACAATATAAAACGTCATTCTGGAAATGGAAAAACTACCAAATCATTTTATGTAAAATTATAAAAATAAATCTTCTCTTTACTGTAGTTTACTAAATTGAAAATGACTTTATCCTCTTCACTGAAAACAATTTCTAAGTATCCCTAAATATGTGGTCCAGCTGAATATACTACTGTTTCACTACAGCTGCATCATATTCATTAATGTAAAACACTATTTGGCAATGAATTCCCAAGATAACTTTTTTGTCAAAAAAGACATAAAATGATAGTGTAGTCAGTGTATGCGTTTTAAATAACAATGACTTCCTATTGAAAATTTGGGTGTCTTAACAACTAAGATGATTATGAACCGCTCAGAAGTACTCAAATGACGAGGTCATTTCTGGTAACAGAAACAGAAAATTATAGAAATGTAAAGGAAGAATAATTAGCTGTATGTGGGTTGAAAACAAAGGCTGAATTGTTTATCACCATGGATTCTGTTTCTATTTTCAGGGCTGGTCTCTTCCAAGCAGTTAATCCAGTATTGTAAACAACCAGAAGACAATAAATGCAGAACAAAATCAACCTGAGAGGAAAAACCTTGAGTAAACTCAAACCAGGCAATATTAATCTAAAAACTAGTTCTATAAAACACACCATACTGAAGCACTTGGATTAAACTGCAAGGTACTTTTAGGATAAAGCAAGAAACCATAGTTTTGACCACATACGAGAAAAAAATTTTGTATAAGTATGTAAAGGTATAAAGATATAATTAAAAAGACAGCAAGAGATACCTTTGCTGGTTAATCATCCTACTTATACTTCAGTAGGAAAGTCAACAAGAAAGTCTGGGGATTATAACTAGAAAATTTTCCCTCAAGTCATAATAGAAGTCAAAAGAGAGCAAACCAAAGATTTAGAATACAACATACTGAAAAACAAAAACAAAAACAAAAAAAAACCCTGTGATTGTTGGCAAATACTTAGCAAAACACACAATTACATGAGACTCACTTCAGAACTAAGCACACACACAGAATGAAAGTAAGAGGATGGGAAAGGATATTTCATACCATAGAATTGACAAGAAAGCAGGGGTAGCAATATTTATATCAGATAACATAGACTTTAAAACAAAGGCTATACCAAAAGACAAAGGGCATTATATAATGATAAAGGTTTCAATACAAGAAGAGGATATATAACATTTGTTAACATATATGCACCTAACTATACAAAACGAATATTAACAGACATAAAGGGAGAAGCTGACAATAACACAGTAATAGCAGGGAACTTTAACAGCCCACTTACACCAATGGACAGATTATCCAGATAGAAAATCAGTAAGGAAAGAGTAGTTTTAAATGACCAGCTGGACTTAGTAGATATCTACAAGACATTCCATCCCCAAACAGCAAAATACACATTCTTTTCAAGTGCACATGTAACAGTCTCTAAAATAGAACAAATTCTAGGTCAGAAAACAAGCTTCAACAAATTTAAGTGGACAGAAATTATATTAAGCACTTTATCTGACCACAACAGTAAGAAACTAGAAATCAAAGGTAGAAAAATGGGAAAAACATAAACACATGGAGACTACAGAACAAGCCATTAAAAAACCAGTGGTTCAATGAAGAAATCAAAGAGTAAATCAGAGAATACCTCAAGACAAATAAAAGTAAAAACACTACTTTCCAAAATCTATGGGACACAGCCAAAGCAGTTCCAAGAAAGAAGTTCACAGTGATACAGGCCTTCCTCAAGAAGCAAGAAAAAAATCTCAAACAATCCAACCTACAATCTAAAGAAATTAGACAAGAAAAGCAAAGCCCCAAGTCAGCATAGGAAAGGAAGTAATAAAGTTCAGAGAGGAAATAAATCAAGTGGACCAAAAAAAAAAAATCAATAAAACCAAGAGCTAGTTTTTTAAAAAATAAACAAAATTGATAAGCCTTTAGCCAGGCTCATTAAGAAAAAAAGAGAAGACTCAAATAAAACAAAAAGTGAAAGAGGAGAAATTACAACTGATATCACAGAAACACACACACACAAAAGCATGAGAGGATACTATGAACAGGGATATGCCAATAAACTGGACAACCTAGAAGGAATGGAAACATTTCTAGAAACATACAATTTTCCAAAACTGAACCAGGAAGAAAGAAACAATCTGAACAGACAGATCCCAAGTAGTGAAACTGAATTCATAATCAAAAAACTCCCAGGAAACAGAAGTCCAGGACTGAATGATATAACATAGGACCTCTGTCAAATGTATAAATAAGAAATAATACCTGTCCTTCTCAAACGATCCCAAAAAAACTGAAGAGGAGGGAACACTCCCAAATTCATTCTACAAGGCCACCAAAAGCAGACGAAGACACTATTAAGAAAACTACACGCCAATATTTCTGATGAATACAGATGCAAAAACCTCTACAAAATATAAGCAAATCAAATTCAACAATATACAAAAATGACTGCACACCACAATCCAGTGGCATTTATTCTAGGGATGCAGAGATGGTTCAATATCTACAAATTATTCAATGTGATACACCACATTGAAAAAAAAAGAGGGATAAAAATCACATGATCATCTCAACAGATACAGAAAAGGCATTCGAGAAAATTTTACATACATCATGATAAAAACTCTCATCAAAGTGAGTATAGAGGGAATATATCTCAACATAATAAAGGCCCATTTATGACAAACCCACAGCTAATATCATATGCAACGGTGAAAGCCAAAAGCTTCTCCTCTAAATTGAGAAACAAGACAAGGATGCCCATTCTTACCACTTCTATTCAACATAATTCTGGAAGTCCTAGTCACAGCAATCAGATAAGAAAAAGAAATTAAAGGCAACCATATCGAAAGAGAAGAGGTAAAACTGTCACCATTTGCAGATGACATGATACTATAAACAGAAAACCCTGAAGTCTCCATCAAAAAGCTATTAGAACTAACAAATGAATTCAGAAAAGTTGCAGAAAGAGAAAGCAAGAAAACAATCCCA